AACGAAAAGTCATCGTATTCTTCATCAGGTAGAATCAAACTCTGTGATGGAAGATACTTAGCTTACAAAGAACGAGGAGTCCCGAAGAATGAATCGACTTACAGAGTCGTTATTGTTCATGGATTCGCTAGCAACAAAGACATGAACTTCATGGCTACCCAAGTACATATTGATAAACCCCTTTTCATTTCATACCTTGTCTGTGTTGAATGTAGATCTATGTGTATTTTTAACAGTTTTTGTATCGAAATTGATACCCAGATGTCCTAAATTTCAGAAACTAATGGATGAATTGGGGATTTATCTTGTACAATTCGACAGAGCTGGATACGGAGATAGCGACCCAAATCCAAAGCGTTCGTTAAAGAGTGAATCATCAGATATTCAAGAACTTGCAGACCAATTACAGCTTGGATCTAAATTCTATCTCATTGGTGTCTCGATTGGATCATATCCCACATGGAGTTGCATCAAGAACATTCCAGAAAGGTCACAATCTGAGAAGAATTTGAAGTTGATTTGAATGTTGTGTAAATTTTATTACTGAAATGGTGTATGATGATGCAGGTTAGCCGGAGTTGTTATGGTGGTTCCGTTTGTTAATTACAGATGGCCGTCGCTTCCTCGTGATCTGATACAAGATGATTACCGGAAAAAGCTTTCACAGTGGGCGGTTTGGGTGGCGCGTCACACGCCGGGGTTGTTACACTGGTGGTTGACTCAGAAAATGTTCCCGTCGTCTTCTGTTCTTGATCGGAACCCTAAATTTTTCAGCAATAAAGATTTGGAAGTTCTTAAAAACACTCCTGGGTATCAATTGCTCTGTAAGGTAAGAAGTAATAGCCTCTCGTTTTTTAATTTCAAGTTTTTGTTAACAAAAAAAAACAGAAAAATAATGCATTGATCTTGAGTTGAACTCGCCTTTAATTTTCATGAGTTAATTAACGAAAAAAAACAGAAAATGATCATTGATTTTGGGTTTACCTTGTCTTTAAATTCCAAGATTTGACTAACAAAAAGGAAAACAGAAAAAAAAAATCATTTATCTTGAATTTAACTCGTCTTTAGATTTCAAGATGCAAATTTAACTCGTGTTTAGATTTCAAATTTTGATTAACAAAAAAAAAATAAATAACAGAAAAAATGACCATCGATCTTGATTTTGATGGTCTTTAAAGTTTAGGATTTAATTAATAAAAACAACTCAAAATATATATATATAATCATTGATCTTGAATTTGATTCTTTTTATTTTTCAAGACCAGCTGTGTGATTTATATATTATATGGGTTTATTTTTCAACAAAAAAAGTTAAATATAAATATCTAAATATTTAAAAATTTTGAATTTATAAGAAAAAAAATATTGTATTATTATAATTAAAATGTTTTTTTTTATAAATTTAAATAAATAATTTAGAGAAATAAACAAAGGAAACTGTGACTCTAATTTAGGAACTTTGAAATTATAAGTTAAATTCATTAATTAAATTAATATCTATTTATTATTACATTTATTGGAATTATTACATTTAAATACTATATGAAATTTAATAAAATAATAAAAAAAAACCCATAAAATGATATGTGTAAAAAATTAATTTAAAATAACTACAAAATGATATGTGACAGAATGAATTGAATATGACATGTGGCAAAAAGGTTTTTATTTATTAGAATAGACTAGTTTATAACTCGAATCATGATTATAAATTAATTAAACTTTCATAATAAACTTAAAATTATTAATTAATTATTTCAAATAAATTATTTTAAATAAAATTATTAATTAAGAAATATTTTTTTAATTATATAAAATTATAAACGTTGATTTAAATAAATACATGAATTTATATCAGCTTATAATATATATTAGTTTTACTTTATTTTTTATTTTAATGTTATTAATTTAATGTAATTAGAATGTAAAATTTTTGAAATTTGAAATGAAGAATCAATTATTAATATAATATAATTAGAATGGGAAATTTAAAATTTAAAATGGTGAATTAATAGGCTAAAATGTGGCATGGTAGGTGACATATAATATTAATGAAGATTCGAATAAATTTATTCATTTATTAGAATAGGGAGATTGTACTTTGACGGACTAACCGCTAGTCTAAGACTAAATATGTAAAATGATATAAAAAAACATTTAAAATATTAAATGCTTTATAATTAATAAATATATTTTTAGATAATTTTAAAAAATCTCAATAAATTCTTTAAACCCTAGTCTTATTTTTTAATTTATAAACCATAACAAGGTAAAAATATCAAAAAAAATAAGCTCACTTTAGATAACATTAGAAAAATGACCATTAATCTTGAATTTCGCTCGTCTTTATATTCCAAAATTTAATTAACATAAACTACACAGGGACAAAAAACACCATTGATCTTGATTTAACTCATAAATTTCAAGATTCAATCAACAACAAAAAAAAAAAAATTGATCTTTGATCTTGAATTTAACAGAGCAAACTGAAGGAAGAGCCGATATTTGATAGTCTTCGAAAGGATTTCATTGTGGCATTTGGGAAATGGGATTTTGATCCGTTGAATCTGAGCCGTCCATTTGGTGAAAGTCAATGTCGTCTTCATATATGGCAAGGTTACGAAGATAAAGTTGTGCCTGTTGAACTACAAAGGTATGTTTGGAAAAGGTTGCCATGGATCAAGTATCATGAAGTTCATGATGGTGGCCATTTGCTTGTGTATGATAGTGATGTATGTGAAGCTATGTTGAGGTCTCTTTTGCTTGGTGAAGATACTCCATTGTATAAACCTAAACTAGATTCAACTAATGATTCTTGAAGTAGATTAGATGATTGTTTAAGAAATGTATCATATGTTTGATTTGATTTTGTTTGTGTGATGTAATTCTTGCATTCTTCGTGGTATAACTTAGATTCAAAAAAGTGGCATTGAACAATTGTGTAGGGATTGATATTGTAAATAAGAAAGAAAAAAATCTTGAACTTGGCCCATATAGATATGCAATCTTCGCTTTTCGGGTACAAGGTATGCTTTGTTTCTTATTATTAAATACTCGTGCTCGTTTTTGTTGTTACGAAATCAAGATTCCAAAAGCAAAGAAATTTTGGCCATTTTGTTTAACCTAATTTATCTGTCAGTTTCTTAATTCTTGAATGGGCTTTCGCAAATTCGTAACTATATGAATTGGTGCTAAAGGCATTTAGTCGAGTCTAATACCTAATGGACCACCACCACTCAACCAATGACATTACTTGAAAGAAATAGAAATGGAAAATTGAATCTTGAAGGCGGACAAGACGTTCCTTATAAGAATGTGCATGAATACCCATTCTTTTAAGACATGTTTTAAAGATGTGAGCTTGTAATTTTTAATGTTTTTGGATCGGATTTCTTATTGCTTTGGAGTAAATGTACAAAGAATAAAGTACATGGGTTGCACAATGAAAGCTAAGCAACATAATGTAAAACATAATACGTAATGTACAACATAAAATACATGTTAATACGACCCCACAGTTTGAACGGGAGGTCAAGAACAAACACTTAAGTTGTCTCTAGAATCCGTAAAGAGAGGCGATGGAAGGCCCTACTTGAAGATATCGGCATGTTGATGGTTTAAAGGGACATGAAGGAGGAAAAGTTCATCGTGACGATTTTATCGCATTGACAATATATGCCAATCCCTATGTGTATCGTTGGTGTTGTATGAGGTTGTTTGGAGAGATAGACCCCACTAATGTTTTCATAATAAATGTTGGTTGCTTTATCGAGATGACAATGAAGTTCTCTAAACAAGTTGAAAATCTAACATGTTTCGGTTTCGGTTACAACATTTGCAACACCACTAATACATAATAACCACTCGTAGACCGGCGAGAGACGGGACCCTACCCCAGTCGGCTGTTGGATTTAATTTTGACTTTTAGTCAAAAGTGGTGGCCGGTTCAAAGCATACAATTTTTTTAAGGATGGTTTAGTCTTTTGCTTAAAGTATGAATAAGTAAATGGCCATGTGGGTACTAGAGATTTTTATAAGATCCCCAAAATCTCAATAAATTTTAACTTTTAAAAAAACAACCAATTTCAACCTTAAAGTGTTTACAAAACAACTGTTTCAAAAGTATAAACATAATTAGAGTTTTTCCCAAGATCTAATATCATAAAAACAAGAAGATTTGCACGATCAAGCTTTCGCTTTCCTACAATCCTCTAAAGTACATGAAACAATAAACTAAAATTGTAAGTCAAAGCTTAGTGAATTCCCCCAAAGTACCACCATACAAACATATAATCAAACAAATATCGGGTATGGATGAGCATAGGCGGGTACCCGCCTTATTTGCCAAGAACCGGAACTGGAACCAGAGGTTCCTAGAAAGTTTGAACCAGAACCGGAACTGGTGTAGGTAGTTCTTAAATTTTGGAACTAGTCTCGGAACCAGCTGTTCCGGTTCTGAGAGCGGGTAACCTAGTTACAACAATTTTGTTAATTTTTTTCGATAAAACCATAATTTAGTTCGGTCCAAATCAAATCAATTCATACCAAAGATGGACAAAATCGAACATATATATTCTAAACCGGTCTAAATAACACACACATGTATATGAAATATTAATATATATATATATATATATATATATATATATATATATATTATATATGTGTGTGTGTGTATATATATATATATATATATATATATATATATATATATATATATATATATAAACCGGTTTTGGCGGGTACCTAGCGGGTAGTGGTTCCGAAAAAATGAGAACCAAAATCAGAACCACTTAAGGCGGTTCCATAATTCTAGGAACCACCTTATAACATGACAACATATAAGAAATAACAAATATACTCAGTAGACATATACTCATACAGCTAGAAATCACATGTAGTCCTACAGTTCTACCAATCTAACGTCTATCATCATCTATCATATAATCATACAGATCTATCACATACTCAACATATCATCGATCATTATATGGTAGGATATCAGACCAATGGACCGGCCATGGTGCCTTTGACCCACAAGTATAGTGAGGAAAACTCACATTTCGGTCTGAAAAAGATCGTTGGTTAGGTCACAGCTTTGAAAATCAGCTCAAACGGCAACTTAGTCATCAAATAATAACCAGTCTCAATTACCACTCAAAATACCCTTAGGTCAAACTTGGTTAATACAGGTTAAAGTCAAAAAGTCAAACTTGGTCAACACAACTGAGTACGCCCAATGTACTCAGCTTGTACGCTTGGCGTACACCATCTTGACCAGAAATCGGGCTAGTTGACCTCGAACACCCAACGCTCGCATCTAAGTTATTTCCTTTCCATTAAGATCTTATTCATTAAGATCTTATGTCCATAATCTAGATCTAACCCTAAAATGACGTCCTTAACTATAAAGTTTCCAACTTTATGGTCTTGCATGACTATAAAGTTCCCAAACACAACCCCCCCCCCCCCCAACAACTTAACCCATTAAGACCTTGTAATCAATGCATGGAATGGAAATAATGATCAAAACCACATTTTTATGCTTCTAAACACCCCAAAACATCCGAAAGGACAAGTTAAATGGATTGGAGTAGCTCATACTCAAAATACCAAACTAATGGGATCAAAATAAGCAAACTTCATGGCTAACTTAGATCTAATCATAGCTTCATTAAGTTCAAAGCTTTTTACCTCCAAATGATGCCAAATGGGGTTGTTATTCTAGATCCAATGTGTATCAGTCCTCTAAGATGATCTTCTCTTCTTCCTCTTTCCTTCAAGGTTACCAAAACACACACAAAAGCTTAAAAATTCTCTAAGAATGGATTAGGGTTTTCTCGGGACAGGTTTGGGTCTTAAGGAAGTTTAAATAGGGTCCAAATCCTAAAAATTAGGGTTTCCACTCGAGCCACTTATGCCTAGCGTTCCTAGGCGACGCCCATTGTTCGTACCTAGCTCCTACAATTTACAAAAATGTCATTTTGGTCCAATTTTGCGATTACTCTTCAACCTGTTAAAACACAAGGAGTTCATAGATCCGGTAGAATTCATCAAGATTATGAGAGATACGGATTTCCCATTGACGAGCCTATCACCTATTGAAACATAATGGCAAATATTAGATCTGATAAATGGCTTGAAGCAATAAACGTAGAGATGCAATACATGAGAGAAAACTAAGTTTGGGATTTAGTTGAACTTCCTCCTTAATGTAAGATTATAGGGAGTAAGTGGGTCTTGAAGAAGAAGACTGACATGGATGGAAATTTACACACATTTAAAACATGACTTGTTGCTAAAGGATTCACTCAAACCCAAGGGGTTGATTATGACGAAACATTTTCACTAGTTGCTATGATTAAATATATTAGGATACTACTTACCATAGCTACATATCATGACTATGAGATATGGAAAATAGATGTCAAACTGCCTTTCTAAATGGACACTTGGAAGAAGATGTTTATATGGTTCAGCCCGAAGGTTTTGTGGACCAAAGGCATCATAATGAAGTGTGTAAGCTCAAGAGATGCATTTACGGCTTAAAGCAAGCATCTCAAATTGGAATCATCATTTTGATGATGAAATCACAAATTATGGTTTTGTTAAAAGCAAAGATGAATCTTGTGTTTACATGAAAACTAATGGGAGTTTGACGACCTTCTTGGTCCTATATGTGGATGGCATACTTATCATTGGAAATCACATTCCGAATTTATGAGGTGTAAAGGCTTGGTTAGGAAAGTGTTTCTCAATGAAGGATCTATGTGAGGCTTAGTATATTCCTGGAATCAAAATCTATAGAGATAGATTAAAATGATTAGCAGGTCTAAGCCGAACTAAATACATTGACAAAGTCTTGAAAAGGTTCAAGATGGAAAACTCTAAAATAGGAGTTGTACGATGGTGAATGGCATAGTACTAAGTTCATCCCAATGTCCTAGCACAAAGGCTGAGTTAGACAAGATGAAAGATATTCCATATGCTTCGGTAGTTGGATCTATCATGTATTCCATGAATTGTACTAGACCTGATGTTGCTTTTGTTGTGAGCATGACAATAAACTTCCAACAAAATCCAACGGAGAGTCATTGGTTAGCTATGAAGAACATCTTTAAGTACTTGCGTAGAACTAAAGATATGTTCCTCGTATATGGAGTCGTTGATGAAAGCTTAAGTTTAAAGTGTTACACTGATGCTTCATTCACAACAGATAGAGATGATTGTAAGTCACAATCATGGTATGTGTTCATTGTCAATGGGGGTGCAATGTCTTGGAAGAGCTCCAAGCAAAGTGTTGTAGCACAGTCCACTATAGAATCCAATTTGTTGCTTTAGAAGTTGCACGAGAGGCTGCTTGGATGAAGAAATTCATTGGAGATCTGGGTGTGGTTCCTTCCATTTAGGACCCCATAGAAGTCTTTTGTGATAATGAAGGTGCAGTTGCTTTGGAAAAAGAACCCATATCACACAAGAAGACCAAGCATATAACATGGAGATTCAACTTCATTCAGTATAAAGTTGAAGATGGTGAAATCAGTCTTCGCAAAGTTCACATTGATCAAAATTTGGCGGACCCTTTCACAATGGCCCTTCCTCAAATCAAAGTTTGAAGGACTTGCTCGAGGGATTGGGCTTTGCTATTCTAGTGATTGGATTTGATCCATGCATTAGTATTAAATATTGGAACATTTTGTAGCATCATCTATTGTAATGACTGTGATATATATGGCATATGATCTTTTCATTAAATATTTTTTTAGTTCTTTATTAACATGTTTAATCCTTGAGTAAATTTATTCACTCTAAAATCCAT